TAGGGTTACGTTTAGCGTTAGGTTAAGGGTTAACGTTAGGTTTAGCGTTAGGTTAAGGGTTAGGTTTAGGGTTAGATTTAGGGTTAGGTTAAGGGTTAGGTTTAGGGTTAGGGTAGGTTAAGGGTTAGGTTTAGGGGTAGGTTTAGGGTTAGGTTTGGGGCAGTTAGGGTAAGGTTTTCGCTTTATTTTTACATTTATCGATCACAGCGCGATGTTTTCGTCGCGCTGTGATGACGTCACGTACGCGCTTTCGTCGAGCGCGATTTTGTCGTCCGCGGTTTTGTGGTGGAACCGTTTAATATCTATTCTTCTCAATTTGAAAAAAATATTTTTGAAAAGGAACATAATCTATGAGATTATTATTAAAACAAATGCTTCCAGAATAGGTCCTGGAACATTATGAGAGTTTCCAGAAGAAAGAATCATCTTTCTACTAGAAGAAAATGGAGTAATAGAGTAATGGAGAATTCTGGAACGCTTCAGATAACTTTAGTGTATGGGATTTTCCTTGTGGAAAATATACTAATATACATAGAAAACACATGAGGACCATATAAGTGAAACTTACCCTTCTGGATAGTAGTCCTTTATGAACTTAGATTTTAAAGTTGCCTTTAACTGGGAGATAAGCAGCATATAAATTAAATAAATAATAATAAATTGCAAGTAAACTTTTCAAAGACTTCCAAACAATCCATCTTCTTTCTTGCCTGCTGTCTATGCAATTGTTTGCTTGAATTAGGGATTTAGATATCTGAAAGAGCACTTTTATTGTAAAGATACTGCAGTACTCCCACAAGTAATAGATTGTTTCTTGTTGGAAAGTATTCTCATGTCTTATCCCCACCTCCACTTAAGTGAATTTTATAAATATCAGTGCCATAGGAGGGGGAAAATAGTACTGCAGTATAAAAGTTGAATGTGGACCAGTGCCCTATTTCTTACTACTCCCTGTGCCATTTAAAAAAATATTTACTCCTATACGTATTAGAGGAAGACTCGTCTTTTTTCCACTTCAAGGGCAAGACAAAGCTCAATAGGCTATATGCAGTGCTGGGGTTCCATTTTTTTTAAAACTACTGATTTGCTTGTGCGGTCTCGTGTGCAATGCTTCTGCACATGCCCAGAAGTGGGCAGGTGGGCAGAGTCTCCCACCACCGCTACTGGTTTGCCTGATCCGGGTCAAACCAGGAGCAACCTTCCCCTGGCTATATGGCAGTTTTCTTTTTCGTTTTTCCAGTATTGCAATGCAGGCCCAGTCCTTGGTATTCAGCCATGTAGATAGCAGGGTTTCTTTAAAAAAAAAATAGCCAAGCTGTTTTTTTGCTGTGATTCCATGTTGTTATTGCAGGACCTCATAAATCCTTCACAGGATTAATAGATTGGCTATGATAATAGAGGGACAAGCAGATTAAAATGTAGTGGGAGACACAGTGAACTTTTGAGCACTCAAGATCATGTTAACAGTGGGTCTACAAATAGCACCAGATTTGAACCCTGCCAAGTCTTCTTTGATGACCTTCCCATGAACTTTGTATGGCAGTTGGATTGGTAGTGGCATGTGTTATAGGATGTAACTCCAAGAAAAGTGCTTAGTGTGGTTGTTGCCCCC